AAGTTACAGTTTTCTCTTGACCTTTTTATTATTGGTTTTATCCCTCATGTTCTTTCTGGCCTCTCCAGGTATGCAGGCTCTAATAGGGTTTCAAGGACCTATTTTTAAGAGCGAAATAATATTTAGTTTTTAGTTGTTGCCATTTCCCGGTTATATTTTACCACGGGATGATAGTTCTGTGATGTGGTTTCCTGGTCACTGGAAAGTTGACATCACTAAAAGCATTTCATTCACAATCTAAGATTTTTGTGATGAATTACAGACCTGCAAGCGAATAACTGGAATTGCACAGCTGTGACTTGTGTGCTGCTTTGATTGGATTTTTATCAACAGTGAAGTCCGTCTATGAAGGAACTGTTGCATTCAGTGTCTGTGTGATCATTTTAACCTAAGACTCCTCTTTCCCCTTATAACCTCTCAGTTCTAAAAACTTCCAGAGTCATTCATCATGCACGTTATTATTATGTGCCTCAGTAGAGTGCCTAGGAGCACTGTCCACAGGGCAGCACTCATTGAGAGCCAGATACTATTTTTATTTTTAAATAATTTTTTAGGCAAGCCTCTGAACCTGGCAATGAGCTGAAGAAATGTGCTTTTTGCTTAGTGATACTGCTGACCCAAATCAGGTAGGAAGTTGGAGGGCTGTGGGCACACAATCTGTGTGAGAGGAGAGGGAGCAGCTCATACGTGAAGGAAAAAAGGCAGCAGATGACTGCAGAAGCCATCCTAGCTGGATACCAGGGTGCTGTGCTTGCAGGGACTACTTCAGATCAGGAAATATTGGTCAAAGCTCAGTCCTCTTGACAAAGGCAAATAAAGCCTAAAATCCACAGAAATACTATAGTTCTACAGCAGGCAAAACTAAGGACCTCAAAAGCAAGTGGTTTGTGTAAACTCAGGCTCTAAAGTGTAAAGAGCAAGGGTCTGCAAGGCAGGACACATACAGTTGGTTCTCCCATAGGTGCTTTGGTTCTGCAGTGCTAAATGGAGAAAAAAAGTGTGCTTTGTTCAGTGAAGTTATGACAGATGACTTGAATACACTCCAGAAACAACTACACTGAGCAAGAAGGTGTCATCTTAAGATAGTTACCCCTTGACATGTCCCTTTACGCCTCAATTTTTGCAAAACTAAGATTATCGCTAATGAGCAATCCTCATTGAGGCCTCAGGTTCTTGTTCAGAAGTGACATGGGAAAAAGACTGTGGAAACCCCCGAGCTTGTTCTTCCAGATTTTTTTCTTTTAAAGGAAAGAGGCCCATGCAACTCTATCTTCTCTGAAATGTCTGTCTGAATATTCATCTGAGTGAGAAAGTAATTTTAGCATCCATGACACACAGCTTCTGCTGCCATCTGATTGCTCAACGGCACCAAGAATAAATATTTCCTTAAGCCTGAGGACAGGAATCTGAATGCTGCTGGTTCCCCCTTCAGAAGCACCTGTGTGTGTGTTTTTTCAAGGTCTGAGTAACACAGTGGTGCTTTGTAGCTCTGAGTCATCGAAGCTCTCCGACCCTACAAGCACACTCTTGCTTAGCGTCCTTTTCAAAAAGAGAAGCTGAAAAGGCTGCCTGCAGCTTGACACCAAAACACAGTCCTCCTGCAGACCTTGACATCAGCATACCTATTTTTCCAAAGAAGTCAATGGTGCTACTCATGTGCTTAAAGGTAAGCAGGTGTTGGTGTGCTTTGCCGAACCGGATCCACCAAGCCTGGAGGAGGTTTGTCTTTTTTCTCCTGGATTCTTTCCCTGTCAGATACACTTGTTCTGAGGTAACGTTAATCAAGCAGGAAAGCTGACTGGTTTTTAGGAACTGCTGCAAGCTTGCACGCTTTGCACGCTTTTGGAGTGACAAATTAAATTCACACAGAGCTGTGTGAATTTAGAGCTGTTTAAAGCACACATTTGCACATGGTGGTGGGATTTAATGGACAGCTTCATCAAAAGCAAGACTGTTAAAGGAATGATCAGGCTGGGTTTTGTCTTATTTAACCACTTCAGAGGAGGCTGACACCTTCACATTCATCGATGCCCCTTCTCTCTCTAGATAAGAGCTCGGTAATGATGTCCAAATCACTGACCCACAGGCCAGCACCCGATGAGAGGAAGGATGTTCCAAGGGTTATGGGGTGAACTTGAGACTTGGGAGGCTTGGTTTGGTTTCCTGTCACCTCTGTAAAGCCAGCCAGCCTCTGGGTGCGAGTTCCTCATCCACGCAATGAATCGCACTTCCCTGTCTCAGAGGGACACTGTGGTGGGAATGTGTTGGTGATGGCAACGCCTCAGGTCACCGTGCTGCCAGCAGCAGGAGTACTTCTCAGCCCCCAAGGGAACCTGACGTACAGCTTGTCAACGAGATGTGCCCAGTCCCCTGGCAGAGGGTTAAACAAGGGATGACCTGACTTCAGAGGGGCTGTGTTAGCAAAAGTGCCCGGGTTTGGCTCCCACCCTAAGAAAACAGCAGGTTGCTTTTTTCCCTTCCTGTCCTCTCTCCCGCCAGATTCAGGTCCAGCCAGTCCACACCAGGCCAAAACCCCTTGCCCTTGCGAGGAGGCTGGGCCCACGTGGGGGTTAGCACATGGACACCGAGAGCCTTGTCGTTATGCCATTGAGCATAAATCAAAGGAGAGGGGACTGCAGTGCTGTGAATGCACTGGCTTGTGTGAAAAGCAGAAGGACATGGTGGCAGAAGAGACTACTGATTGACACAGAGCGCAGATGTACGCAGCCACCGCTGTGACTGTGCCCTAACAAGAGCCTTCTTTGTACGATAAAGCAGGGAGGTACGAAACAATTCTCAAAAGGTGGCTGAGCAATTAGCCTGCTCCCCTCGCATCGGCCCCAGGGGATTGCTGCTTCTCCTCAGGCTGAGTCGTGATTCTCAGAAATTATTCCAGACCCTTTAGCTGAATGCTCTTCAGCAGATTTGCATATCCTTCCTTAAAAAGGATGACTTTGCCCTTGCTTGACACTTCAGTAATTTTTTAGTCTTTTCTTCTAAAGAGGAACTATTAAACTGGGGCAAATGAGGAGGAAGAGGATATTCTGTGACAAAAAGTGAGTGACTGGACCTGTTGTTGGTCTCATCACTTCTGTTGCCTTTTCAGGTGGTTTGGAACAGGGAATCTGTTGCTCGAGACCTCTCTGCTGCTCGAGTGCACAATGTCACCTCACCACCGTGCTGGCCAGCTCTGTGTTTTAGCAGATGCTGCCTGGAGTGCATTACGGGAAACGAGCTCCTTCAATTACAGGAGTGTTTTCAGCATTTCCCCGGGGACACTGAGCGGTGTCACCATTCAGCTGCCAGGCTGGCCCGGTTTTCCCTTTCCTAGATCGCCTCTCACCTTGCCAGCACTGATCATTATCCTGTGCCCCTCCTGGGAGGTGCTGCGCACAGGCAAAACATGATCTTTGTTCCAAAAAATGTATAATCTGATCATGAGAAAGGTACTGCTACTAAATGCAGAGAAAGAGACAAGGAAACAATGAGACAACACAAGATTTCTTGCGAGACTAGACTCTGAATTTTACCTGGGATTGTTGTAATGATAAAAAAAAGGCTATAAGTTGTTTATAACCTGCAAAACTATAGAAACTCAAAGCCTCTGACTTGAGGTACTTATTCTGTTCCAGACACAGATAGTGCAGTTTTGATAAACACAAGTTATACACCAACCCATAGCTCCAACTCCAAGCCAAAAGTGGTGTCCTAAAGAAAAACTTCAATGTTTTGGTCATCTTTAAGTCACAAGACCCTTCCCAGCATTGGAAGAGGACAAGGTGCTTAGGGGAAAATATTTTCTATTTAAAGAGATTGCTATTGCTGAAACTAGAAAAGAAGGAAAGAGGAGAAGTAAAGACTTGGCAGAAACAAGGGGAGAATATCAGGTAGAGAAATGGAAACCAGTATCGGTAGGCACAGGACTGTCATGCTATTAGACAGCAAAAGCTCCCTTTAACCAGCAGCAGAAGCGTTATTGCCACTTTCTCCAAGTAAATGAGATTTTAAGAACTGTATCCAATAATGAAGGATTCCTTGCTACAGGCCAGATTTTTAATCATCTTACCTAGTGCAAGATCACAGCTGGTTGTAAGGTGTTGAGTGTGCTTGGAGGACCGCTGTCAGGAGGCTCTTGGACAGCCAAAGTAGGGTCAGCGAGGGGCTGGGCACAGTGCTGGCCAGGATCCCCAGCACAAGCCATGCCCCAAAGACTGGCCAAGGGAGCTGCGTGTGCTGGGCTGCGGGTAGGACACCGCGTTTACAGGCAGCCACGAGCCGGGAGGGGATGCAAAGGCATCCCCAGAGCTAGAGGCAGCGCTGCTCCCTGCTTCGCCCTCTCATGTAACAGTTTCAGGTGGGAGGGTGGTTTGGGTTGGTTTGGTTTGGGGTTTGTTTATTTTTTTTGAGAAGCAAAAGGCTGTTGGCTTAATTGTATCACCTCACTGGATGGCTGCCTCAGTTCCACGAGTCCATCTCTGTAGGACACAGTGGGAGCCTTAAAAAGCTGCAAAATTAAAGTCCAATATTTTCTGGGGTTAGCCAGGAGTATTGCGTATCCCAGTGGGAAGCTGGGAACTTCTTCTTTTTCAGGAGTATAAATCATTCACCTTACTTGTTTGCTTAATGCTATACATTAAAACTGTCAGTTGCCCAGGTCTTGGCCTGAGGTCATATCTGTGGAACAGTCTACAGAATTGTCTATATGCCAATTTTTTTTTTCTTTACAATTGTTTTAAAGTTATAGATTTCAAATAATAGAGTACTGTAAGAAAAGGTTATATAGTGGGCCAAAAGTTCATGACAAATTGCAAGACTGTGTTATTTATTTATCTCCTGGCTGTGTTACAAGTCCCTGTGTGTGTACAGGATCGAGTACATATTCTTAGCGTGTCTACAAAGCACCTTTGAAGTTATAAATGTTGGTTAATTTTTACTGCTTAGCTACCCAAAGTGCTGTGCAGAAGAAAAGCTTTCCTCCTCTCTGCCAGCACTGTGACCAGGTAGGTCTGAAGCTCTCCAGGTCTATTGGTTCTTATGTCCTCTCTCTCCTTCTCTGCTCCAGTTGTCACTACAAATCAGTCCGCCATGTGAAAGTGAACAACACTATGAACATTCTGGACGGTGCTGTTCAAAGTGTGAGCCAGGTACGTGAGCACTGGGCTGGACCGGCTTCATAACTGGAAAGCTCATTAGGAACAGCTCTGTGGGTCAGTAAGGCAGCTTGCTCTTGTGACTCTGCTAATCTGTTGGCACATAGCCTTGCAGGTGCATGATTGCAGGCTTACAAGTGCCTTCTAGTGCAGGAGTGGTCTTGCTGACCTCAGCAAAAGCCATAGCAGCTATTTTGTTGGGATAGCACTTAACCACTACGGGAGACAGAAAGCAGCTTGATTCTTGTGCACGTAGACAGGCCACAAGCTTCACGGACGTTTCAGTGTCAGGCTAAATGGGGCCTGACTGAGGAACTGAAAAGGTGGCAGGAAGAAATGATTGTCCCCAGCAGTACAGCAGTGTTAGCCCAACCTGTTATTTTCCCTAAGCTCCTTAGACAGTTGGTGTGCAACTTGCAAATGACCTACTCGTCCTTCTCTCATTCACAGGAAAATATATGTCTGCTAGATGCACTGGTACTTCCGACAGCCTGTGCCAGCCGTGTGGCCCAAATGAGTATATGGATGTCTGGAATGAAGAAGATAAATGCTTACTACATAAAATATGTGATCAAGGTGAGCTGTTTGTACTGAAGAACCTTTTAACACAAATTAGTGAATCACAAAAATGGGAAGGTGGATCTAGGGGAGCTGCTTTGTTCAGGTACCCAACGCTGGAGGCTGGGCTTGCAGAAGAGCCTGGCAGAGAGGGAGGTCCCCAGACAGCAGAGGTGCTGTGCTGTGCTGAGCACCGTGACCATAGTCTCCATGCTGCTGATAATGATTATCTTCACTGGAGCCACCATCCACTCCTATGAGTTGGATCTTAAAGCTTGTCCTTTTGCCTAGCACACTGTGCACTCACTTCCCCCACACCTTTGTCTCACCCTTGCAAAAGCTCTGTTAATTTTCTACAGCAGCTACGAGGAAAAGTATTGCTCAGGAGTGCGCTCGGTGAGGAGCCCCGTGCTGATCAGTGGTCTCCCACGCTTCTTGAAAGGCAACATTTCCTCTAACACAAATGGTTTTGCATCTGGCATTCATAAAAAGCAAATACATAGAACAGGAGGCTTGTAAACTTGAGGCATATTATCAGAGAGATTTTTCCTCCCATCTGCTTTCTCTTTTAGGGAAAGCTTTGAGAGAAGTGAACCCAGGGAACAGCACGTTCCAGCGGCAGTGTGCTTGTACCATGGGCTACCACTGGAATGAAGACTGCGACTGCTGCCAGCGAAATTCCATATGTGCTCCAGGATTTGGAGTCGAGCATCCTGGTAAGATACAGAAAGGGGATGTACCAAGTGAAATGTCCAGCTCAGGCCTACAGGATGAGGCCAGCATCGTGTGGGTTGTGGTGTCAGAGAGGGTACTTTGAACTCTCAGATGACTGTCAACAGCAGATGCATCTCTGAGTTACCATTGCTACTGCATATAACCCTCCGGGACTATTTGCATTTCGAAGGCTTCTGCCTCTGAGGTTTATATAGTATCTTGGATCAAGTGAATTTTGCAAGATACCACGTGGACATGGCACTAGTCTCAAGGTGCTCAGTGGATTTCTAACATTTGCTGAGGTGTCTGACTCTGTGTCACTAGGTCGTGCATTGCTCCAGAGAAGTTTTCCTTTGGGGATTGCTGCTGAGGTCAAATTTGAAATCAGTTTTTTTCCAGTGACTTTTCTTTGCCATTTTATAATGTTATAAGCAAGTTAAAAACGATTAACACCTTTCAGGTGTGCAAGTGTTTAGATGACTTGTAATGCAAAGATTTATTACAGACATTTAATTTAGTCCTAAGTCTGATTGAAAACAAAATGCAGGTGTTTTGTGGGTGGAAAATAGAGACAGTCAAGTTCAGAGTTGTAATGAACACTGGGAACAGCTGGGCCAAGCACAAGGAACCCCAAAACCACAGCACATAATAGGGTAATGGAGGATGAAATGCTGCATGGGCCTGGTGCACCATGGTGCTGTTTTTCCTCCAGTCTAGCAAATCCTGATGCAGCATTTTGTTTACTGTGGCTTCATAGAAGTCACAACACTAGTTAGCCTTGCTGTCTGTGGCACAGCATTGATGCGAGGAAGTTAACGGGAGGGGAAGGATATAACAGCTGTGCGTTATTTTACAATAACTGCAAATGGCTCCTGGTCATTTCTCGTTTTGATCATGTAGATAAGAGCTCGGGTGAGACTAGTGTACTTTTTTTCTGCTTACATGTGACTGTCATTGTTGCTCTAATGTAAACTAAGATCCTTCCCTCTTCAGGGAAGCTTTTGGGGTGGGGAGGGAGCAGGGAAATGGGAAGCATAGTCACCTTTCTCTCACCTGAAAGGAACTCGGGGAAACTCGGCTATGAAGTTTTTTTTCCTTTACTACAAGCAGTGCAACAAGACAAGGACACAATGTGTACACCATGTCCCAGAGGCTACTTCTCACAGGTCGCTTCATCCACCGACAAATGTAAATCTTGGACCAAGTAAGTCCCTGTGTCTTGCAAAAGGACTACGCTAGCCACAAGGCAGGGAGAAGCTTGGGTGAAAGCATTTTTCAGTGGGGTGTTTCAGGCCGTCAACGGAGCATGCAGAGCATCTCCATTGGTTGTGCAGCAATAAAGGCATCCTCACACTGGAGCCTGAATTCTCCTTGGGGGTGGAGGAAGAAAGAGCAGTAAAAACAGAACTGAAAAGAAAGAAGGTATCTGAGCTTCTTGAGGGTGGAGAAATGCAGGATAAATGCCCTATGTTACAACAGAAAGTGCTACTCTGCTTAAGTGTAGGAGCCACAACGAGCTTCCTCTTTGAGAACCTAGTCTCTTTGTCTTTCTTTTTCAGCTGTACAGCTCTAGGAATGGCAGAAATCGTGCCTGGAACTGACAAGTCAGATGCTGTTTGCAAGAAGATGCCTGAGCCATCGGAAGATGGTACGTGTCCTCATACAGATTGTGTGCGTGTGTGTCCTCATACAGATTATAGAATCATAGAATCATAGAACGGTTTGGGTTGGAAGGGACCTTAAAGCTCATCCAGTTCCAACCCCCCTGCCATCAGCAGGGACACCTTCCACTAGACCAGGTTGCTCAAAGCCTCATCCAGCCTGGCCTTAAACACTTCCAGGGAGGGGGCAGCCACAGCTTCCTTGGGCAACCTGTTCCAGTGTTAGAAAGTACTGGGGAGGAGGAGGGATGTGTTTACTAGAGTTTTTGGCTGGCTTAACTCCATTCCCATTGTAGATGTCTCTACGGGGAGCAGCTGTAGACCAAGACATTGCTCTTGGAAAATCCCACCTTTAAAGATAACTTTTTAAGCCCGGCATCTCTAGGGCCCATGTCCACTACTAAGCAGAGCTTTACACCTCCCACTGAAACTGCATGGCGAGCAGCATTGCTGTTATGCTCATGACCTCTTTCATTTTTTCAGCCTGCTACTTTCCATACGCATGTTCCGTGCACAAAGGCTCCAGCTCCTCTCTGTGCTTCTTTTATAGCAGTGCATACAGTCTCAGCTGAACGTAGCTCTCCCTTCTTGCCCACTGCCCATTTCCCTCTCTAGTGTGGATAAAGTACTAGGGAGGCTGCTTGCCTGGCATGCAGTGATCCTTCCTAACCTGAGATGAAGGACAAATTTTGCCAGCTGAAGTTCATAGTCTCCATGAGAGGTATGTCCCCTAGGGCAGAGCAGGCATAGCCCATGGGCTGCTGGCAGCTTGCAAGGGGACATTCAGAGGACCATGACAGGATCACACCTCTCTGAGACACCAAGACTCTGTTTTTACAGAGATGGCTCAGTATCAGGTACCTTCAGTAAGGCTGCTTGTCACAAAACTGCATGAGTGCTACAAGCAGTTGTCCTTATTATAGAATTTGAAAATCATACTAGAAGGGGGGGGAGTGAAACCCTATCCTGTGGAAAAGCAAGTAAAATGAGCAAGGATTGTCATACTGCTGTGTCCAGGCTGCATGTTGATGGCACTGTCTTTTTCACATCCTGCAGGAACAAACAAGATCTTATACGTGTTGATTGTCATCTTGTTTTTTGTGGCACTAGTTGGCATTGTCATCTTCATTGTGTACTACAAGAATAAGGGAAAAAAGCTGACAGGTACGTGATAGCTAATAATATTCATGAATGTGACATGGCTTTCTGTGCACTCCAGTTTCATGGGGAACCACCAGGTTAAGAAACTCAGGAGATATTCTGGAAGTTCTGTGTTATCCCTGTATCTGTCCATATGGATATGCTCTAACTAGTGCAAAGCCAGGCTTCAAATTCCTTTCCTCTAGGCAGGCAGCGTATTACACTGGTAAGTAATGCATATCGCCTGGTATCCTCCTGCAGACCTGGCCGTGGGGTCACCACCCTCAGGGCAGAGGTAACCGCTGTCTGGATGAAGGGGGGCTGGTGCTGGGGGCTTTTATAGCAGCGTGGCCACTCTGCACCACATGGCACAGCAGATCCCTTGGCCAAAGG